GTACAACTAGATAAGAACCTATATCATTCAATACTATTTAAAATAAAAAAGGGAGAAAAACAAGAGTAGAAGGTTCCTCGAATCATCTGGAAGCTGCATCTGCACCAAACTATAAACCTCAAGCACTAACAATCTTGATCAGATAAAGGAAATGTGTGTGTGTGTGTGTGAATAAGTGTTTCTCCATTGCACAGGTGTTCAACCCAATGAGCGGTATTTCAATTCTGAAGTTTTAAGTGCGTCGGATGAAGTGATCAGCGCAGTGAACGGTGTCAGGCATTCTTCATTTTCAACGTGATCAGCGCAGCTAGCGGTGTGAAGCATTTTTCATTCTCAAAGTGATCAACGCAGTGAGCGGTGTCAGGCATTCTTCATTTTCAACGTGATCAGCGCAGTGAGCGGTGTGAAGCATTTTTCATTCTCAAAGTGATCAACGCAGTGTGCGGTGTCAGGCATTCTTCATTTTCAACGTGATCAGCGCAGTGAGCGGTGTAAAGCATTTTTCATTCTCAAAGTGATCAGCGCAGTGAGCGGTGTCAGGCATTCTTCATTTTCAACGGTACTCTCACTCAAATATACTTATACTATCTCGGAATGAGTTCTTATTGCATAAACACCAACGACGAATGATGAACGGTGATATAATTCAGTTCTTTTCAGATTATTGTTTCATCTTATTGAAGTTTCATGCCTAACTTATGAGTCGAAGGAAATTCAGATGAAATACATGCTAAGTATATACAAAATATAGTCGAGCATTAGGGGTAGTTATTACTTCGGATACTTTTAATTTATTTTCACGAGCCATTTTATCAGTGAGCAACAATCGAAATAACAACACTGATGAAAAATACAACAACATTACCGTTATCCACAGCAACTATAACAATCGAACATTTAACAGAAGGCTCTTAAGCTGAGAGAAGTTCTTGCAATTTTGATCGTTTTTCGTCGTCCAAAGGATTTGTCTGAAACTCATAGATCGTTATGTACATTTTTCACTAAGTTTCACCGAGAAGATTCGTTCAAGAACATTATTCTGCTGCATCATTTTCAAAATATTGACAAGTCTGCCTTTAACTTCCGCAGCCTCGTCATTGAATGCTCCCATGATGAAAGCCGTCAAAACTGTAATAAGAAAATAAAAATTGTATAATTTAAGAAAAAGTATACTGATGTCAAGAATATGAGGCAAGTTCGAGTTGTCAGTTCCCAGACAAGCAGGATTATTACTCTCAATTAGATCGCATAAATAAGAGTAGATATGAATTGATTCTTCCTCATCTTCGTATGTTGGAAGCCATCCCAAGAAAGTGGGTATAACCTGTAAAACATGTATATTCTGTACATGTATGTGATGAATACCTGATCAACGTTTATTTTAACATTTACGTGCCTGAGAATCTTAGCAACAGCGGCGATGGCATTCTCAGTGGCCACAGCATTATTTTCTGTTGCCCGAGCGTCTGGCTTATTTATCATGACGGCTAATGGCTCAAGAGCAGTAACAACGGAATCGTGGAATTCAGGTCCACCCTTCAAAGCCATAACTCCCAATCCATAGGCGGCAGCTTGGCGAACTTCAGCATATTCATCTGTCAATCCCTTCAGGAGGAGAGTGACAAAGTGTTGCTGATGACTGACAATTCTCTTGAAAAAATAGGATCAGTTCACGGAACGCCAATCAAAATCTTACGGAAGTAGCAAATTCAATGACGTCATCGAGAATACAGATGCCCCATTGGCGATCAGAGTAGTATCGTTTGACATCTAATTGATTGGCAATCTGCGGTAATATTCCTTCAACATATGGGAAGAAATTCTCGCCCAACACCTAAAGTAATGCTTAATCAATGAAACAGCCATTAAACTGACTTCAAAACAAGCGTGAATGATATCACTTATTCTTCCCATGACAGCTGCTTCTGATTCCATCTCTTCATCAAGAAACTCTTTAGCTTCTTCGGCGTCTTCATCTTCATCTGCTTCTTCAGCTTCCCGCTCCAACCTTCTCTCTTCATACTTAGCCAGCTCTATTTTCAAGAGGCTTCCTATTTTCTCGATGTCCGAAGCCGCAAGACCCTAACATAATAAGGTAACAGATTGTGGAGCTCTTCTAACCTCAGCTCCTAGAAGTGAAACACATTCTGCAATAGCATTGAGAATTTCGGCAAGAACTTCGGCTTCTTCTTCGTCAGCTTTTTTAGCAGCTTCGACAAGCGCTGGGAAAAACGCATCCCAAAGAGTTCTCATGGCAGGAACACCCTAATTAAATGAATGACAATCAGAAGTATTGCGATCGAACCTGTGATTGGACACATTCTATTAATCGAGGCATAGTTTCAGCCGCTGAAGCACGTACTCCGTCATGGAACATGAACTTCAAATGTTCAATAACCATCTCGCTAATTTTTTCGATATATGGAATGAAAGCTTCTGAAAATAAACGAGAAAATAACATTGACTATTTACTTGCTCTACCTTTCAAGTCTCGGGCATAACAAACAATCATCTCGCAGGCTGTTGCCTTCTCTTCTAATCCAGAGGTTTTAATTCCAAACGCTTTATTGTCTCCTAGAGCGGTGTATTGCCATGTTCCGTCATCTTCTTGAGCATCTTCCTCTACATAAACTATTGTTATTTTGAGCAAAGATTGGAATTGTAACCATCGATAAGAGCAATCTGTGGATTGTAGCTAGCAGCTCTCAATATGGGATCCATAACTAATGGCAAATATGGTGCAAAATCAGGTCCCAGAACCTTGATTAATAAAGATAATAGACGTTATTCCGAAAATTCTTACTCGGCAAATTCTGGTCCATCCACTAATCATATAACTGCATTGTGGATCATCAGGAGCAAGATCAGGCATTGATGTGCTCAAAATTTGCATGACTTCAACGGCATCATTGCCAAATTTCTCTTTTCCTACAGCCAAACCAATGAGAGAAATACATTCTATAGTTTTTCCACGAAGTATCTCAAATCAGGTAGGTAACAATCTTTTTTTTCAGCATTAGCAACTCACTTTGAACTTATTATCCCCCGAATGTTGAAGAATATACTTCAAAGGAGGCATGAGCCTATCGTAGAATTGAACAAAAACTTCCTTCGCAGCATCAGCAACAGAAGCAATGGTTGTGATAATCTTAAAATAAATTTTCCGTTGTTCGTGAATTTTCGATAATTAAAACCTGCTCGAGTACAACTTTATTTCCCTTTTCTTGAAGAATAGAGAAGGTCGTTTCAAGGACATATTCCAACTTCTGCATGATAGCAGGAAGATAAGGAGTGATAACCTGGACACACAGTTGATGAGAAAAGTATTTATAATATTTTTCACCTGTTGAGGACAATCTTCACTGAAATTAACAAGAGCAGCTCCGGCATGAGCACAGACTCTGTAGCAAGAAGTGTCATTCAAGAGATTGAGGAGACCGCCAATAGCTTTCTCGTGACATTTCTTCTGGAGGTTAGGAGAAAAGTCTGTAGCCATCTGACCCATGGCATTACAAGCAGCATGGCGAACACGAGGATGGGTATCTTGCAGGAAAGGAGCAACAGTATCGACAACTTTTTCAATCAAAGGCTCCATGGCACGTTTCGATCCCTCACCAACAGCTGAAATAGCCATGAGGGCTGCATGACGCTTTCTCCAGTCACCTATATTCAATCAATTTATTTCAAATAATTGCACAGAAATTACCGTCAGCCAGTAGCTTTTCAATGGCTTCAAAGAACGGTTGAAGAATAGCTTTTCCATTAAGAGCGCATGATATCCTATCCAGTGAGGTTTCTCCAACAGCAGCAACACTTCAAGACTTTAAGTTATACACATGAAGCATCACAAAATCTTACTCTTCTTCAATATCTCCTTCGTCGACATCATCTACAAGAAGCCAATCCTCGACTGAATCATCAAGTTCAGTCATAAGAATCAAAGCTGATTGCACTAAATAGAGTTTTATGAAAGAGTTCTAGAGAAAGAAACAAACAAATAACAGGTATGACATGTGGTGCGCGTTTTTTAATAGAGTTTGGTGCAGTTTCGCAGAGACTGGTCAAAACTTCCATGGCTGAATTACGATAGCACTCATCCACTTCAGCGTTTTCAATTATCTGATGGAAAAAAAATTATGAGACTAAAAAAAAAGAATTACCTTGGAACAGAGCACAACAATAGCATCAATATGTGGGATAACAACTTTGGGCGTTGTAGAGACAAGATCAGCCAAAGCTTGTAAAGGACCATCATCATCCTCTTCGGTACTTACAACATGACTACAGACCTACCAAGGAAATTTTGAAAAAAAAAAGAAGAAATGAACTCACTTCAAGAATGGCAGGTACATCTGAAGAAAAACCTTTCACCAGCTTATCATCATCTTCATTGAAAGTCAGGAAAGATACAAAAGCTTTAGTTGCAGCAGATCTTACAGGGGCAGAAGGATGAACAAGACAAGCTCTGATCATTTGCTGAGCAACAGAAGAAGTTAAAAAAAATGAATGAATGAAACCTTAATCTCTTGTAAGTATCTTTCTTGTTCGTTACCAAACACATTTGGAACAGCACTAAGTGATGAAATGAAGGAAGGCAAGTTTTAATAAACGTACTCGATCAAAAGCATAGCGGAGAGTTTTAACTCGACGTCTTCTGATTTGGAGCAGTGATCAATGTATGTTATGACTGCTGGCCATTTCTGAGCACCACTCTCTTCATCTGAACGTTCAGTGACATGATTACTTAGTATATCAAGAAAAACATACCAATCATTTCACGAGCCAACTCAGCGATCACGTCGCTTAATTTTTTTCTAAGGGATACAACTGTCTCTTTCATGCTAGCATTAAGAACCTAATATGAATGATGGTTTAGAAAAAACAGAATGTTGGAAAAGTACTTCATTTGAAAACTCGCTAAGTTTGTCGCGTCCAACTGCTTCGGTGATTTCAGTGAAATTATTCGATAAAAGTCGGCGCAAGAGGACGAGGCATGTGCTGCGAACCTGGATTATTCAGGGTTACTTTAGAACTATTTCGATGATTCGTCACCTCTATTGAGGCTTCTGTTTGTTGATATAATTGGAATAAGAAATGAGCCTTCGCATCACAAGCCAATTCTTCATATTTCTTCTCAGCTTCTGCTCTCTTCTGATTGTCTTCAGAAGATATGTCATTTATTATATTGTTAAAAGTTGCAAGATCCATTTTTACCCTGAAAGTATTAGGTTCACATGAGTTTAAGCTCATATTTAAATATGCAAGAGGTGGAAAGATACGAATCGTTCGAAAAAAATTAAGAGACAACTTGAAACATGCTTCCGGATAGTACAATGAAAGCAAAATGCACTGCAAATCGACACGATGGAATGAGCTGATGCGCAGCAAAAATGCGTACGGCATTTTTATTGAAACGTTACAGGGTATAAAGAAAAAACTAAAGAACAAATAAACAGTTCGAACCCATGAACCACTAGATCTAACTCATATGCCATGATAGAAAGAATAGCACCTTTTGAAGCTAACCTGAAACTTAAAGTGAACACAAGAAAAAAACTGATTGGAATATACTCAGACTTACATTTAGTAAGTACAAATTACGTGCTAAACACAGTTTAAAACAGCCACTAGTGTTCTTTCCCTCCAAGTTCAAAAATCAAAAGAGAAAAGATTTGATGAGATCATCAAGATGAAGAGCAACCGAATCGTGAGCGCCGCGACAGAAAATGATTTGCATAGTAGAATTAAAAACAGGTAGGATTTCGAAAAGTGCGGAGTATGAGCTAATGTTCGGTATGATAAGCAGAAAGAATTAATATTGTGGTCAAGTGTTCTTTATTCCCTTGTCAATTACCCAATGAGTTACGTTTACCGCTTATGAAAAGTTTTATTAAATAAACAGTAATGTCAAATGTAATAGTCCACAAGAGTTTTGGCAGCGTCTTCAGATGAGAAGTCTGAAAAACTGTACTACAACATGAAAATAAAAAGATTAACCTTTGTTACAGACTTTACATGTCTGTGGACATAGCGATTCTATGAAAGAGACTGTACTCTCACGGAGTTTCGGGCATTCACGACATGCTGAAAATATGTTTCTATTTTGTCGCTCGTTTTCCTACACAAACTTTTGCAGTTGGATTTTCGTTGACACGTTGTTTTTTCACTTTGCAAGTAGTAAGGATCAACGAATTGACGTATGAGTGGGAGAGACTCCCGAATGAGTGGAAGAGATTCCCGTATGAGCGGTAACGATTCTTTCAATAAGGGTAGAGATTTCTAGAAGGCGTCTTTAAAATGTATCATGGAATGTATTCACCTCAAACCCCGATTCTGCTTCTTGTGCTCCTTCTCCTGTTGTTCCAACAAGAGGTAAACTACTTTCAACTTTTGGCAAGGATTCCTCTAGCGCTGGAATTGCAGAGCTGCAAAGCCATTTCGATTAAAGAGAGTCTCAAAAACAGTATTCGGACTTGTTCTCAATCTGCTGAGCTACACTTTCAAGTTGCTCAAAGTGGTATTGAATGATTGATCCAGCACATATTGGAGAGAGGGCATCACAAAAATCAATTAAGTCAGCACATCCTTGGATTGATGGGACGAAATAAACAGTTCCAATCAGTAGGAATACAAGAGTTGACATGTTGTCATTCGTTGATTTGAAGAAGATCCTGATTGAAATAGGAGTTGGAGAAGAGTGAAATACGATCAATTAAAACCTTTTACAGATTTCATCCTGAGGCTTACACAGCCGCCTGCTAAGCTGTTATTTGAACAGATTGTATCTTTCACACAAAAACTGTTTCAAAAATGTGAGAAGAAGGCAAAATTTCAACGTTAAAATGTTTTATTAAAAGTCTTTCGAAAATGCAAGAGTAGAGAGCAATATCACAATGTACGAGAAACTCGTGGTTTACATTTTTGGAAGAGAATCCAAAGCTCAGTATCAAAGCCGCGTGAAATCATAACTTCAGATCAATTGAATGAGAAAAAGCATAGTGAGATTCTGCTAATCATCTTAATTCCTAGATGGTTTATGGTTCTTCCAACGAGTACCATCTTGCTTGTGATTTTTCTTCACGTATTATTGCTCTCCAGAGATCTTTGCATCTGAAAAATAAAAGGGCTTTGTGCAAAACTTTGAAGAAGACTCTCAAAATACCTATGCAGTGGCAAAGTCATTCGACCAACTGATTCTGTTGTCATTCCAAATGTTCCAGTCTCATGCATGGCCTTCAAACAAAAGTTACCTAAGAAAGAAAGAACATGTATTACCTCAACTTCTAGCACAATATCACAAAGTGAGTGTTTTGGAACATTGAAAGTGAGAGATTCGTTAAATTGTAAGTTTCTGACGTTTCTCTTCGAAGAGGTTTTCTTTCGCTTCAATTTCTTCTCGTTTGTTCCCACCAAGGTTACTCTCATCGACACAGCTAAATGATAGAAATGTATGATATGAGATCACGATGTTTTAAAAATTAACACCTGTATAAATACAAATTCTTTTTAATGACAGAAAAAAAGAATATCTTTGGAAAAAGAATCAAGGAAAAACTATATTTACCTCCATTTGTTTCTGGCCGACAAGAGAGATTACGAGCTTTGAATACATTCATCGTCAAACGTTGGGCATGAGACAGATATGATAAGGAAAACAAGATTTCTCCGAATCCTTTCTGAAAAGTGTAGTGTATATGAGGGGTGTTATCAATTGCAGCTATACTCCGCCATTCTCATCATAAGGTAAGACTTCTGCCCAGAAAACAGTAGGATTATCCTTTCTTAGAGAAACACTCAGACGACCCAATGTGAGCCAACAATAACCAACACACTCATCAACACTGAAATGCGATTTCGCTTGAAACACTTTTAAGAAATCATCCGTAACATGTTTTGATTGTGAAATGTAGTTTTCATGAGAATTCTCAGAGTGAAGATGAACACAGAATCAAATTAATTTTTTCTATTTTTAACTTTCTTTTCAGAACAAAAAAACAGAATCAAATTACCTAAATTGGTCATAGTCGTAGACCATAATTTCTAATCTACAGGATGCAATTTGTGCTGCTGGTATCTTTGAAACAGAATGAGTGAAAAAGAGAAAGACTTATATTTAAATAAAACCTGGAAGCAATATTCTTCATCGATCGTAGGACATGCTGTCTCCTTATATGTCTTTGTTTGATATTCCATTTTCTGGCCTTCTGGCACATCCAGAGCAACCCGGAAATAAGGATTCGGACTATCGTCCTAATTTATAAAATACATTATTAATAATCTTATATGTTCTAAACCTGTCGCTTAGATGGCAAATCTATTGCTTGTTTTAGTAATACTGTCAAAATGCCGAGATTAGCATCTAAACTTAAGCTCAGTTGCATGGAACCAGCTGCTCCCATTTCCTCACTACACACAGATTCGTCAGGAGCCTTCAAGCTTACAAGTTTATAGTTTATTTTGTATAAACATACTTGGCATTGATATAATCCACGATCAAATTCTTTGTGATTAATGTTTGTAAACATACTACGACTATTTTTATTCATGCGAGGTATTGTAAAAAAGTCTCCGGAAGGAGGAGCTGCCGTTAAACCAGCTGAAACCTGAATTCCAATCTTTTATGAAAAAGCAAACTAATTATAATAAAACCGGCATAATTCGGCTTTGTTTACGAACAACTTTGGAGTGGAATTGTCGTCTGAAAGTTTTTCTATGAAAATAGGAAAAAAGCAAGATAAAAAAATTTTAACTTACCCATCGACGCTTCGATTATCGTCTTCAGTGTCTGTACGATTGAAAGCCTTGCATCGTACATGTTGAGGAGCTTGCCCCATATCCAATATATTATCATCGTACCTGAGCAAAAGAACTCTTCTAACATATTATATTCAATCTATACAATTTTGCTCTGATACCTCTTTATGCATCTCTTTCTATTTTCATCAATTAATTATATCAAATAATTAATCTGAAAATCTCTAGAGTACCCAAAAGACAATACACTCTCCTTTTCAATACTTAAAGTTTTCTTTTTTTCTTTCTTTTCCAACAAGAAATTTGTATTTTCTACTTGAATAACATGTTTACAAATAAGTTTTGTGAGAAAAAATACGAAGAAATACTAACCAATTAAGCTTAACTTGTCGTGTTTTAACCAAATAAATTGAAACGGCCACTAATACGATTAGAACTGTCCCGGCCATAATAATCATGACGATCTGTGGATTATCATCTATTTCTAAAGGAATTGACGGGATGTACATCGTGTCTCTGAAATTAACAGAAAAATATTAAAAGTTTACATATTTCATGCAACCGCTCAATGCAATGAAGTGAAATGAAGTAATGACGTCACATGTAAATGACGTAAAGTAATACGTGAACCAAAAATTTGAATAAAAAAAGAAAACATGTTGTACAACAAAGTGTTGTCAATGAGTGCATTGTTTGTGGTCATACTATTCAAGAAAAGCTTGAGCTTAAGCTGGTAGAAGAGAATGAGACCTGAAGAAGAGAGAGAGAGAGAGAGAGAGAGAGAGAGAGAATAAGATATTGGAAGATCTTCAGAA